ATATATAAGTATAAAATAAAACTCTGTTTTATTAACTTTATATAATAAGATTATTTCGCAGGTTGCGCAAATAATGATTTAGCTTAGTTTCTTAGAAGTATGCCTACCTACTAATATGTGATGTCTCTGTTTCACGAGTTTAAGACCGTAAAAAGCTTGTACCAGGTATTTAGGTTTTATAACAGATTTCTTTTATTTGACTGGTAGTATTAATTTGTTTGACGTCGCTGACTCCTTTGGATATCTTCTGTAATATCATACTTTGGAGTACTACCGCGGATCGTTTATACATACGTTTATTGACTTAAAGCTACGGTAGTAAAAAAACACGCGACCGCGGCGCATTGTAAATACGCACAAACTTATCTAACACCGTCATCTTAACTAGATTCTCGATTGAATAATTCATGATGACGGCAACTGCAAGGTGTTCGATATACACTGAAACAAAATCAGGATTGCTTCTTTGCAGATCATCTAAATGAAACAAATTTTTACATATCTGGATAAAAAGTACTTTACGTGCAACAACTGACATCCCTCACAGACGTTTTTATTCAGTAGTACCGCTTTGACTATGGCTTCGGTTCACAATATCTCTTTCACAATTTGCACTTCAGTAGTAATCGTGAATAACGCCATAATGGTAAGTGTAGACTCGTTAGAGGTCGTTTTATAAACGTTCCAGATATATAAAAAAATTTCCAGAGGTGTATGCAAATTTTGGCCCGATCGTAAACCAAAGGTCCTTTAATTGCAAGAATGTAAAAAAGCTAGCATGTTCGAAAGGTTTGAAAAAGCTAGAAACTATTTAAAAAAATAAAAATTAAAACTCTCATCTAAACTACCCGATTGGCAATAAGCATTTTTCTCAAGAAAACAGCCATAATATTTTGGGCATCGAATTTTTAGACTATTTGAAATGACTTTTTACGAAATGGTGATAATTTTTTGAGCCTTTTCGATAATACGAAACCTATTGTAGATCTTCCGCTTTATTTCATAGAAATCTTCGCACTTTCAAGTCCCAGAGATACTGAAAACAATATGTAGCATCAATTTCGAACGTCCAAAAAAATTATTTAGGTGGGAGTTAATCCTAAAATAACCTAGCACACTATTATAGTTGCAAGAGGGATTTCGCAGTAAATTCGTTTCGGTTTTCACTTGAAACTTTTTTTGGCACTTTTTACTATTTTTTTCAGAGTGACCCGAACTTCATGAAACTGTTCGAGCGCAAATACTCGAATTTATTGAGCATTGATCAAAATCGTTGCCTTCAAAAGCTCACATGCATCCTCGCAAAAAATCAGACTTCTTTTGAGGATCCAGTCATCGCCAACATTGTACGCGACTTCGAAACTTTGAAGAACATTCACACCAACTCACCTGCCTATCCTTTTCTTGCAGCATATCAGACGGGACTTAGTAAACAACGATGTGACAAGGTAGGCTTTGTTTAGGTTGCAGTAAGATAGTAATACTTTTCTGTCATAAGCGCCCAACATAGAACATAAGCGAATATATTAAGGCGTATGAGGATAGATATATCCCATATCTTCGGCCATTGGCAACGGACGTTGTTGTGAACAGTTGAACATAACGAAACCAATAATGCATTATTGATGGCTTGTCGCTATAAATCAAAAACACTGGGAGTGAAATTGTTGGTTTGAATGGCTTCCTGTTGGTCTATAAATAAGCATCGTTAACGATATATATATAAGTTAACACATATATATAGGTTGATCAAATAATCGTAATAATGTAATATAGAAGATCACGAGCAAAAGTTGTCAGTGTACGACCACAAACGCCCAACATTAAGAAAATTAGTTTGCTGCTAAATGCTTCGAGACTAGCACAATGCAAAACGATAATGTTGATGCAACCTCAAGATCGAAAAAATCTAATGCTATTAGATGAAGATATGAAGAGGTTTATTAACTGCTGCTCATGTCTTCGCCCTTTCTGAGATCGCTTTGCCGAACCGCGCCCTTTAGGTGAAAAAAAGTTTTACTTAAATACGAGTGAACAAGCGGGTGTCTTGTAACTCTCGGTTTTCGAAAGTTGAATGCTGCCAGTCGATTATCATGTCGGAATTTCATAGCTTGCATTTTTCAAACGTGTATTTCCAGTCCTAGCGAACTTTTTTTCGTGTTTCACCTTCGCCACTAAAGCCGTTAGCACGAAACGAGGTGTATCTCAGGCCTAGACAATTACGTGTCCCTAACCGTAGGCGCAAAAAGTAGCTGTAAACTGCTAAACGTGGAAGTAGCTTTCGTCAAACACCACAAAATCATCTGCATAACCCAGAACAGCAACTTGAATATCGATGACATTGAACAAGCCTCTAAGGGGTACAGATAAGAAAAGGAAACTAAGCCTATGCCACTCGAGTAATTTGATTAAATAGTCCAAGTTCTGCAACACCATCGACCACGGTAACCTCACTAACTTAGTCTTTCAGCAATTCTAAAAAACTAAATGGGGAGCTGCTTCAGCCTTTTGGGCTTTATGCTCCTCGAAGACCCGGAACTACAGCGTAAAAAAATTGGTTCCTCTATTGAACAAAAGTGGGTCGTGTGGCTCACTCTTAAAGGAAAGGGCGTGAACACTGCGATGATCCTCCGGGATACCTTGACAACTCCCTAGGTCTTAGACAGAAGGACGGTGCACTTGCATAAAAAGTTGCGCGCCTTTTTGTCGTTAATCATAATGAGCATTGTTTTGCGCCATTCAATGGGTATCTGACCTTTTCGTTACCAAACATTAACGAGGACAATGCGAAAAGGCGTCTGAAATAAGGCTTGCTCAATATGTTCATTGCTCTCACTCTCAAAATTATGAAAGAAAGATTGTGAACTGCCTGGACTTTTTACTTTGTGCTGCAGCGTATGCAATAAATTATCAAAGAACGCAGTGGTTTCAACATGGCTTGGAATACTGAATGAAAGTAGTCGGGTTAAAAGGAAAGGCATTTACGGTTCGGGTCTATAATCATTCATGTGGTCTCTAAAACGCTTTCTTGAACCTCTAAGTACCTTGTATATTCTGCTACAAGAGTATGCCTTAGTTCGTGTCTTAGAGGATTTGGCATAAACTAAGTGCCGGGCAATGTGAAGCTGACTTCCCTCTACAGGTAATATCATTAGCTAGACCCAGTCTAATTAAAGTACACCTTCAATAGGTCAAAGGCAAAATCATCCATCTGCAGTTGCCAATGCTTAATTGCTCACTTCTAACTGTAAGCTAAGCACCTAATTATTTCCCAGCAGAATGTGTCATACGTTCATGTGTACGGTATCACCACTAGTACGTTATCTGGACTAGAATATGATTACGGCAGTAAATTCGTTTTACTTACCAGAGGTGCATAACATATGAGAAAAACACAGTCAAAATATTCTGCCTCAATGAGTGCACATTTATGAGCCTTAATAAATGGGACTTTCTTTGTTTTACAAGACGCAGAAAATTAAGTTATAGTAACGGACTACCGTAATGAATTAATGAAACACTATAAATGCACGTCTTTGTCAGTGCGCAACAGCCTCGCGTTATTGAAATCATCGATTTCAAATACATAGATGAATGGATTGCTTAAATCCTTTCTACACATCTTATTTCAGGTATATCCTGAATGTCCAATCGGATTCGTTGCCGATGAGCGCCCTCTGGACGAAGACGATGAAGAGGTTGCTGGAGTCATAGACGATCAGCAGCCCGTACAAGAACAAACGACTGCTAAAAACGAGGGGCAATTATTGTGATAATGAACAAGTGTTTCAAAAGTTTACGCAAGCTACATTAAAAAACAGCGAAAATAAAAGTACTGGCAGCTTGAGGCACAGCGTGAACATAAAATGTAGGGTGCCTTAAACCGATTGATCTGAGACAGAGCTGATAATCCGCAGAAGTGACTGCTCTTCATTCCTACTAAGTCGTAGCTTCTTGGTTCGTAGTACAGCTCTCATAAGATGTGAAGTGGCCGTTGATGTTTTAGCTTTGACTGGTGTTTCTATTTTACGCATTTTGTACAAAACATGTAACATTATATTTGTCTTAATAAAATATTTAGTGTAGGCTTTCGGAGCCACACTAATAAAAACATTTCTGTGGTTACTGCTTTGAAATTACGCTACAGGTATAAGACGTGTTCATTATGTAATAATTCTAGTGGGCCACTACTGTAGTATATATTGTGCATAGATGATATTTTGTTTGAAGCATATTATGTAAGTCGCATAGTCTGTCTTGCAGTATCAATATGGCGACTCAAGCAGTTTACTTAAATTAACTTTTCATAGTCAATTGATTTATCAACAAATTAAACGGAAGCATCAGTGTTTAACTTGGTAATCTTAAACTAGCTAATGTACGTACTACCACATAAAAAAAAATAATCCCCGAAGAGTTCTATATTTTGCAGATGTTTTATTGTTCTGCGAGCTTCATCACTGCGTTTGATTCTGAAGTGTGATGGCTACTTATCACAGTATTTGGTTTCTAAAAACCAACGGGAGTTCCCATATTTATGTATAATATTCTAGTGTTCATTTTTCAATATGGAAAAGCACTTTAGATCATTTGCATTTGTGCATTAACATTAACAACATTAATCGGATTAGTATTGACTACGGATATTCTGTATAATGGTCATAGGTAAACATAGAACAGCTCCTTTTAGAGTAGCGAATTAATTTACAATATTCGCATTTTTCTCTTGCGCACCTCCACATATGCATGCACGCTTTGGCAGGCAACATAAAGTGACAATAGACCTGTATACCTTACTAATGAAGTATGTGAGTAGGGTAACTGATCAGTGGTATTGTTTGATGGCTTTATGACAAACAACACACGCGCGTCATTGGTGGCAAATGTTGTGTTGGGTTCTGATGAAAGATACGCTGTATTATTTGACACGTTCATAGATTATGAAAGCAATCGCTGCACGTTTTATATACACAGGTTGCGTCGTTTACCTTTTGTGCATTCGAAAATCTACTCCTTGAAAAATTGGCAAGACACATTCATGAAGATGAGATCCATGTAAAACAAACTTCATGGAAGCGTAATGGCGCGCTTCTTAATGATTTTTTCAACTGTGAAACTCTCGGCAGCGTCCATTCCAAAACCTGATGGATTTCTAACAGGAAGTGTTTTGTTTGGCTAGCTGCACTTAATAACTGTTTCAATAATATTGCATATCGAACTATAAGTATAATATAGCCGCTGCGATAATTCTATAAATCGTACGGTAACTCTGTGTCTGTGTCTGAGTGTCTCTACTTTGGTACCAGCACAAGTTGTTTCAAGTCTAGTCGCCAAGAAGTCCCTTTTTGCGTAATTTTTCCTTTAGTCCGCCTTTACTCTTTACAATGTCCTTACGTTTTGCCTTCTTTAATTCTTTGACCTGCAACCCAGAAAAGTGACCAAAACGACAGAGTTGGCTCATGTCTACGAATACTAGCATTTGATTAGCGCTCGATAAGCGACTACTACAATAAGAACAGCACGAATAGAACTTTTTCATTTAGAAACTCAACTGAAAAATGAACACTGAGTATAATTATTGATTTAATAACGTTAATATGATTCATAAATCAGCGAGGGTTTACAACAATGTCTAAATTGTTGCTTCTTGCATCACAGACGCACTCAAGTACTATCAAAATAGTTGGATGTTCTGTCTGGTTTCTTATCATTATGACAACTATATATATATACACACGTGCTGCATGCATCCAATGACGTACCTTGCTAGCCGCTGCTTCTAATTTAACCTTAGCGCGTCGCTGTAATTCTTTTTGCCAAATATTTTTAAAGTCAGTGCTAAATGGAATCCACGGTGTGAAAAACTCCATCGTCCAATCACTCTCTTTATTGCTGCGCGTCTCGAAGCAGTAGAACTTTGTGACCTTGTCAAACACTTTACGACACTCCGCAAAGTTGTCGTTCTGTTCACTGTGCTCGGTGTATGCCTTCTTAAGGAAAGCTTCCATACGGCCTTTAAAAGGCTCGACATTATCGGTTACGCTATCGAGTACTTTATTGACTTTTCGTTCCATATTTTGAATTTCACGGTTAAGTGCGTCGAGGTCCTCTTTCAGTGAGTCGAAATTGAGCTCCGACGCTCGAATGAAGTCGGCGGGTTCCGGCAGCGGGAACTTAGCTGCGGATTCATCCTCTGACTGGTGTTTGTCCACGTAAACTCGGACGATGTAGTGTAACAAAGTCATAGAACTGTCTTTGCTTCGCACATCTTTTAGCTTCGCCAAGATCTCGATACCAAATCCATCCGCCTGACCCCGATCACGGTTTCCGCCATTCATATAGTTACCCAACGCAAGTATTATAGCGAAGACATTTTTAACGTGCTGCGACGTTAGTAGAGTCTCGCATATTATCTTAAGGTTGTTAAGGCGATTTTCGACTGATGCAAGGTTTTCTGGAAAGTTACTCTCAAAAGTGATGCAAGCCATACGCTCAGCGAAAAATGGGATCTTGGAAATTCCCCAAAGGAACAACTCACTCTTGCCAAGCGGGACGTCTGGCTTGGATTCCAGGTGCCGCGTAATGAGATCAAGTTCCTCGGAAGTTCCTCGCAGTTCAAAGATCGAAGTTAGTACGTCCAGTGGCACAATAGATGTATCGACATCGTATAGAGCTTGTTCTACATCAACTACTTCAATCTTCTTTGATGATATAAGAATGCCCACATTTTGCGAACGTTTTCCATCCAACAAGCTGACGACCTGTTTGGCCTTTTTGTCCTTTATTGTATCTTTAGCCGTTCCCCTTTCCACTTTCTTGACAGGAGCTTGACGTCCAAAGAGCTCTGTAAACTCGTCCCATGAAAGTGGTTCGTCCTCGTCCAACTTTTCCCAAAGACACGTTTTTTCTTCTGGTGGAGAATCGACAGCACCGCCATCGTCCGGTGTAGGCGAGACGGCTTGCTGTGTCATTGCTGGCGGCGTATTAACTTGTATTCGTCTCCAAAACAATGGCTTCATTGGAGCTTTCGGCTGTTTAACCTGTTTCCTAACATTTTGATACGCCTGGCTCCAACCACCGACCGGAGGACATGGCAGCATTGGAGGTGGTGGTGGTCCCAGGCCTCCTGGGGGAAGTGGCGGAGGCGGAGGTGGATTTACCACTCCAGGCAGAGGTGGAACTGGTGGAGGACCTCCCATTCCGGGCATTGGCGGCGGCGGTGGTCCGGGGGCTCCTGGAGGAAGTGGCGTTGGCGGAGGCGGACCTCCGGCACATCCCGGAAAAGGGGGTGGCGGAGGCGGACCTCCGGTACATCCCGAAAAAGGGGGTGGCGGTGGCGGACCTCCGGCACATTCCGGAAAAGAGGGTGACGGAGGTGCAGGTGGATTTACCAATCCTGAGAGGGGTGGCGCTGGTGGAGGACCACCCATTTCGGGCACTGATGGTGACGACGCAAAGCCTCCCATACCAGCTAATGGTGGCAGAGGCGGTGGAAGTGGTGTACCCAAAACTGCGCCTCCAGATGTTGGTGGCGGTGGGGGTGGCGGTGGGGGTGGCGGCGGTGGTGGGGGTGCTCTAACGACTACATCAGGCATCAACAGTGGAGGAGGAAGAGGGTTCATTGGCAAAAGCACCGCCAATGAACCTGTTTCAGCTGGAAGACTTGTAATGGACACCGCCGTGGGTCCTGCTGTCGATTGAGGTTCGTTAAAAGCTTGGCTTTGCTCTTTGGCTTCGGGACATACTATAGCTTGATCTAAAGGCGTCCCCATTCGATCAACTGTCAAGGTTTTTTTTTTTGACAATAGTGGAGTTGTTTGTGCTTCACTGCTGTGATCCACTACATTGCTACTTAACCCAGGTGAGGATAGCGTAGTGCTGTCATTATCGCTTGCGGTTTGTGTATATCCTTCAATGGTCGATGATACGTGCTGACATGCCTGTTCAACGGATGGGTTTCTGAATGAGCTGTACAGGCTGTCCCGCGCTTCGTACTCGTCTGTCTGGCAGCTCTGGGCAATGCGTTCTAGATTTCGGACTCGTTCTTCCACAGTGCCAGTAAGCTCACATTGAATTTCTGCATCCTGCATACCCTCTAACGTTGTTGGTCCCGTTTCACTTATTTTAGGCAAAAGTGAGCCTGTGCTTCCAGCTGACAGTCTCCTCGTTGCTGGAGCAGATTGCTGTTGCACAGGCGGCTGCCTTTGAAATTCATACATGTGATTAAGTTTGAAGGACCCGCCCCCTTCATCCTCGCAGCAGGTCATGATTCCAGCTTCTAAAAGTTTCGAGCACAACTTCAACAAAATTACCTTGATCTCCGCTTTCTGTCCATCACCACATCCAATCATTAACCAGTTAAGTAACATGTGTCCTTCAAACTTATCGCCAAATTGTTGATGTAGTCCTGGCGCATCGGTTGGGGCACGTGGCGTACGAGGTGGGGTTCGAGGATTTTCGAAATTTCGATCCAGTGTAATAGAAGCTACCTTCCGCAGGACGTTGCTCTGAAAATAGATATCATCGGACAGAGAAAACAAAATCTATTAATTCACTCCACAAAATGACAGCGCATACTGTTGCCATGTACACTTAGGAGTAACGATCCACAATGCCTGTATTAACTAGAAAAACTATGCATCAGTTACAGCTGAAGGAATAATTTAGCCTTTAGCTATAATCCTAGCGTATCGCTTGGCCAACTATATAGGCTGCAATCGACCAACAACTAGCTAAACGAAAACAAGTTCCGTTGAAACTCATTCGGAGAAGCCATTCCTTTAATTTTGCTGAAAAATTTCTAGAGCTAACGTGATCAATTGTCCAGAGCTACTACATATGATCGCTCTTGTCGAGACAATACCTCAAAATTTCTACGACCGGCTTCGACTTCTATTATGCACACATCTGCATTGAAGCCGCATTTATCATCGACATCTTTGTTTACTTCGGCTGTTATTATCAATACATGCATGAATCTGGTTTGCGTATATTCGAAGGCTGAGACCCATTTGCAGTGAACACAATCGAAATATATATCCACTCGTAGTCGGTGAAATGATATGAATAAGTCCAGAAAAATGGGGTGGACTGAGCAGGCGAGCGTGGAATGCTATTGTTAACCTTATGACCAGCTATAGCGTATTATAAGTTTAGCCGGTGCAAATTTACGGACTGGCTTTTTCCGGTCGGAACATTATATTAGGAACGAATCAATAGGACTAACTGAAGCAGATATGAAACATCAATGGGGGCACGAAAGGCTAAGTCGGTTTATATATAAAAGTTCCCCGCCTCTGTTCTTATTTGATGCCTTGAATGTTCACTTTTTAATACTTGAATTAATTTTTTTATATTTAGATATATTACTCAAGTATACAGACACTTACTGTCGTCGGCGTCCTGCTTTCGGGTACTCGAGGAGAGTCATCGTCTGTCGACACCTTTGGTAAAACAGTGGGTTTGTGAGCAGTGATCGTGAAGGGCGACGCAGAACCCGAAGGAATGCTAAGTGTAGATGGCCTTCGTTTAGGGGTTGATCCGGGACTCGGTGTTGTCCGCAAGGGACGTCGTTCTGATATCGAGATGTCACCCAGCGAAACAGCCATATCGTTTTGGCCGTTTGAATCGGAATCTTTTGTAATATGGGAAAGAGCTTCATGGCACTCCAAAGGAGTATCTGAGGACAGGGGACTTTGGCTACCTGCTGACACTGGTTGTTCGCTTTTCGAGACTTTTTTACCTAAATAGACCAGGACATGCAATACAAAAGAATCATTAGTAAGCTATTTGGACCGAATCAGTTTATCTAAATTGTGAGCGTAAATAGACCAGTTGCTATGGATATCGCTTACCTGACTGGCATGCTTTAAGGATTCATTTGTGTGCTCGCCACAAAATACTGGCAGTATTTTAACATCTCCCTAACAATTTTGGACTATAGTAAGATGTAACTTGACACGTTTATATGAAAGTAATAACAACAGGTACTTTTTAATATGAGTGAATGAAAGGTCATCCAACCGTTTTTTTTTTCAAAAGAAGAAAATATGTTTGCACCGCTAAAAATTGTCTGAATTAGTATAGTACTGACATATTTCTACAGAACTTAGTCAAAACACATAAAATACTTCTAATGTTTTCGTGTCTTTTAAAAGTTTAACACTAGCCACATGTAGTAATGAAACTAGATCATGTCCAAAAGCTTGCATTAAAGCTTCATATTACCTAGATACTTCAGTCGCATATTTAGCTGACGTTGTCATATCTTCTATAGACATTTAATTGGCAAAAGATTAGATTTTTGCGCAATTTGCCCTAAACGTAATACTCGACATTCCTTACATAATAAAACGCCGCTTACGCATGACCATATGAGCAAGGTATTGATACTTGAAAATGATTCAGGTGTACCACACAAACATTATACGATATTCCAAGTAGTACGGAATGGCATGCAACGGTTCCTTAAGCAAATTCCTAGAATTAGCTTATGAGCAAATCCTAGGATTCGAATTATTCAAAATAGCTTATAACTGATTAAATAAAAATTTAACCAAGATTCGTCTTTCAACAAGATCCCGCCTACTAATTCAGTCAGTAAAAATTCTTAGCATCTATCTCTGATAACTGCAGTCTTTCTCTATAGTAAACGTGTTGTCTATTTAGCGTCACCGAGTAATGAACAAACCTAGTAATAGAATTGTTCGCCCATGAAGAAGCCGTTTTTTATAATATAACCACCAGAGTTGAGCAAACTCCGCAAAAGCAGACAAATGCAGACCTAATAATAATAATGGGATTAAAAATATTCATATTGGCCAGTACATAAATACATTTAAAATGAATCTAGAAGCGATTTGAAAGTCAACACATGATACTTGATTCAATTTTCTCCTTAGTTCCGTAGTTACGATTGGGAAAAATGATCAATTTATCTGTTTTGTCTGTTTGTGATTTTGTCTGGAAGATTTGAGCATTCATTTAACCCATTCACATGACCTTTGTCAAGCTCATCGGTGCCTTCCGCTTGTTTGCACTAGTAGATGGAAGAAAACCAAGACTCGAATGTCACTCAGTAAGCTGAGATAGTTCCTTCGGCATTATTAGCTACGTACCTGTCTATAATTCAACCTACTTTCATGTTTAATTTACTAGATATTTAAAACACGGCATTCTAACTAAAGCAGTAGAAACACCAAAAAAGATGGCCTCGATATTTATTCAGTAAGTACTTAGACATTAAATAGTAAAATTAAATTAATTATTATTAATTAAAGTAGAGTAACGCTTCTAATGATGTAAAAATTATATATAATGTTACACTATTTTATGTAAGACTATGTAAGAAAGTCGCACTGTAGAACTCTTCAGGATGTCATCGTACATAATCCTGCTGATGCAACCCACTATCGAAAAACATGTCCAGCTAATACAGGTTTTTAACACTGCGTTTAAATAGACACACAGAATCCGTAACAATGTGGGCTAAAATTGAGAGAGCTCTGCTTGCTTTTACCGAAGAAAACTGATTTGCATAGATAACAAATTATAATTAGTGTACAAAAGGGTCGAAGTTTTAAGAATACGTTATTTTCTGACACACCTGCACACATAAGATCAATCTAATTTTAGTGATTTTTCGACCATAAAAGTTGAGGTTTCAGGGATACGGACTGTTGTTTTGCATTTTAACACCGGATATCTGGTCCGGTTGAGTGTATGGCAAAACGGCATCGGCGGTTGCGGCATCAGCACTAACTCTGCTCGTAATATGGTCCGCATCGAATTCACTCATTTCAGACGTGCTGCTACTGTTGAGACTCGCGTGACCAGAACCACTATCACCACCATTAACACTATAGCAGCAAGTACAGTCGAGGACAAGAGAGAAGAAGAGCTGCTTAGAGGCGCGCTATCTCCCCTCGATTAACACTGAACATTACATAGAGTTATACAAAGACGGACCTGTCGCTCTCATTAGATAAGGCGGCACTGTAGCAGCAGTAACTACAGCACTGACAGCAGCATCATGATGATATCTCTCCCTCGGAACGAAAAGTGCAATAATGCATGCTTCCGTAGCCGACCCATAATAGCACGGACAACTGGTAAAACTACAGCAACTACATTTAGCAATAATATAATGTTGTGTCTATAGAGGTTAGTGAGCAGGAAGCGGGTTGCTTAGCGGCGGATGGACCACGGGACACGACGGGCGGACGGCTCGATAAATGGACCGGCCAACATTCAGGCAAACAACGCACAAACAGAGATGTAGGCCAGAGCGCCACAGAGTAACTAGTCACAACAAGTGAAGCCTACACTAGATGTAGTTTACAAGCAGAACCACTTATCCTCTTTGCGGTGGCTGGCTACTGGACGAATCAGTCGAGCTTGAATCGGATTGGCATAACACTCGTGTGTTGCGGCAGCTGAACGGAGATTAGTTAGTGGATATAAACTACCAACGCTTTGCGTTGTATTACACTGTTCGCTGTTACTGCTTCTGCTGCTGCTGCTACCCCTTAATCCCGTTTGATCGGGTGTGCTATGCTCTGTTTGCTATCCTATGGGCTGCTGCGATGCTTCATCACGGCGATGAAGTTGCTACTACAGTCTAGGCAGTAGCGATTCAGTATTGTTTGCCAGATAAGCTGTACGAATACCGGCTGCAACGATAGTGCCAGCCGGTGCTTGATTGATGAAGTGCTGTTGTTGCTATAAGTGAATGACGAGCGGACGAGTGAATGAATGGAGGAAAGGGGCGTTTACGGAGTGGGATGATTGGCTTGGCAAGCGCGCCACAACCTCACCAACAAACTATTCGAAATATAAAGGACAGCAACATAAAGTATAACTACCCAGTCTACCATTTCAGCGGTTCGCTCGACAGACCAATAACTTTACTTGGTTCCCCCTTCCTACCCTCATGCTCCTGTTTCCAACCCAAGGGTCCGACGAAGAGCTCAAACTAGGCAATGGGCTATCGCAATGGCGCGAAATTCAGTTGCTTATGCTAATTTGAATCCGTAACGCCAATCTGATTTTTATGTTGCGCTCGGTAGCCGGTAGAAAAGAGCTCGCCAACACTTACAATGACGGCAAACGAAAACAGAAGTGTGATGATGGCTGCCGTGGCAACATAGTGCCAAAGCGTGTTACAGCACTCACACCGTCAGTAGTTAAGTAGTGGTTATATATATATAATAACTTACTTAATGAGAAGCTGTAGTTGTAGTATCATGAGCGCCAATTTCCTACGTATAAAATAACCAGCTCGGACAGAAGCAATTACTGGTAACGGATCACGAGGTTGCGTTGATCTTTGATCGAAGCTTTGTTGTTGTGGTGCCTGTTGACCTTATGCCTGTGGCAGGTCATCTGGCAACCACTAAATTTACTATTAACTGTACAAGGGTACTGTTAGTAGCAATTTGCATTATTCACTGTTAGTTGTTAGATGTTACTGCTGCCGCTGCGACAACTATAAAATTATTGCCATCACAAATGTTATTTTGTGTAACTTAATTGGTAAAGTAGTTCGACTTCGCGTAAAATACTCTTCTCCTTGTCTAGTGCGCTGTAGTTAGCAGCTTTCAGCAGTTTTTGCACATTACTATGCCACTTTTTGTTACTGTTCTCTAATCAAGAAACGTTTTAGAGAACTTAACGAGCCACATTGATAACAAAAAATAAATTATTTACATCCGGAAGATTACCAAGCAACGCTTAGAACGATAAGTTTCGAACTAAAATTAATCAGATTTTGTATGTGTGTGAGTGTATATGGGTATGCGCAAGCGTGTGTGGAGACTGCGCGAAAAGCATCGTAATCGACTAGTACGATTTACATTTTCTCTTCGTCGTCTTGTCATGTGTTAATCTGTTCCGTGTGCCGCGTAAAGAGATGGAAAGACTGAGTGGAACGGAATGAGCAATTGAAGACGCAGACCAGAACTGTGGATGGCTGAATCCAAAAAAGAAACTGACAAATATTCTGTCTATGGGGAGAAAGACCGTTGTCAACACAGCCAGCTCAACAGTTGACTCACCACCTGTTGTTGGCAGTAACGCCTCGAACGGAAAACATGCGCACATTTTACAATGCTGTGACCCTGTCGTCTCTGATAAAATTGACAGTTGTTTATCGTTTCGTTCCGAAACTGTTTCCACAAAAATTTTGTTGTTTTCAAGACGAGAGAACGACAATCGTTTTCTAAATGAGAAAAATACAGAGAAGAGTCCTGTAACAATGCGGCACAATCCTCAACTTCTAATTATTGAATGAAAGAGACGAAGTATCTTAGACGGTAATAACACGCGTCTAATAATTGCGTGTTCCTCCCACAGACCTGTTGTGTACAATTTAGTTTGTATTGGTCTTTTTTTTTGCTAAGCACATTGCCAAAAACACGCAGAACGAATGTATTAACAGCTTGTTTTTCTACCCAAGCGGCTTTGAACCCGAAGAAATGGCACTGTACATAAGCAAAACTTGCCTAAGTTTTGCTTATGTAGTTAGTTGATTAGTTGATGCGATAATCATCATCATGACAATTTAGTAATAATAATAATAATAACAGCAATGTCGAGAGATGATTACATTCGGAGTGGACTCACCTAAATCTGTCACTGCCGCGTTGACTTTGCGGGACTGCGTCGGTGTCGTTTTCGGCTTGCCTTTTGCACCAAATTTAAATTTGGACTGGCGCATGCTAGCAGGTGTCTGCGGTGTACCAGGTACAGCATTGCTGCCAGGCCCAGGTCCGCCCTTAGTCACCAGCGATCCCCTCTGAGCGCGAGGGGTGCCAGTCACTGATTCAGATGAAGTTTTGTTACCCATCTGGCTGCCGAAAGTCGTCACGACATGTTCGCTAGAGCTAAAGCGACCGAGCCCGCCCACGTCCCGATCGACGGTGACACCGCTACTCCCTTTTGGGAGAGCGAGGACAGACAGCCGCGAAAAACGGCTAAGACTTTCTAACCGTGAGCCGCTAGGCGAGCCTCCTCCACTGGCGTTCGAAAGGGGCCGGGCTGAAAGGGACTCGCCGATACTCCGAGATCGCCATAGCGACGTGCCCCCGGGGCCGGCTGGCCCCGCAGGCAGAACTCCCGGTCCGCCAGTGCTGTCTGCAACCCTTGAGTTTCGCATAGTGCGAGCTTGAGCAACACACGACACCCACGTCGAATAATCCACAGCAAAAATCCACAGCACAAAAAAACGAAGATTTCACTGGTACATCTCGAACACCGTAATAGACGTCATGGTAGGCTTGCCAGCATCGACCAGAGTCAAGGCAATACTACAGTGCGGTGCTGGCGACACAAGGTACTACTTACCCGGCCGAAAAGTCAACCAAAGCGGCAGAACACCTCTCAGGGCACCTTGCAGAAGAGCACCATCAACCAAGGAACTAACCTGGATCGACAGCGGATTCCTGATGGTTACAGCATTTTTTATGTCCTAGTAGAACTTTAAGAAACTGTCTTCCGATACCCATCACGCTTTCGAGAGTGCGCTCTCAGAGAAACACCTGATTCTGCGCAACATTCGATGTACTGCGCCGTCGTAGCCCGCTAATTTTCAAAGTGCTTAGCATATACATAATGCTTTATTGCGGCGTAAGAAATTTATTACGTTTAGCTAACTTATATCATAATGAATAACTATTCCACACAGCAGTTGTATTTGGTAATACAAACTTGATGTCAATAGGACGTACAGAAGTAATTTTATCGTGCTCAGATATTATACTATCTCCGATGGCCTGGTGATTCGAGTGCATTCATCATACAGAGTTTTTGTCCGTTTGTGTAACGACGACAAGAGTACGGTTCGTAGTGCTAGAAACCACTGTTTTCGAATATTAACTCTCCGTTTTGGACGAGCAGTTGTTATTAAGATATCCATAGTGATACCATCGAAGATTTATTAAAAAGTGAATAAGAGTTTTCCGAGCACAGAACGTGATATAGGCTTGTTGTTATATTATTATTCTCATGACTATGAGGGTTTACAGAGTAAAGAGACCCTGCTTCTTTACGTTCGTACTCAATTTTGGGGAATCATTAATATACTAAAACAGTCAGTGTTATTACCAAAGATTAAATATCGAATACTTATTCATTCGGTATATTGGTATAGTATGGGCGCTATTTATATCAACGAATAACTAAACCTCGCGTATGTTGTGTTCGCTAAGTTACAACTCGATTAGTACAATTTCGTGAAAAAGAGAAACAGATAACCTGTAAGAAATTGTGTGCAATCGAAAGATACACTGTCAAAGACTCACTATCTGCAATCGAAATTTAGATATTATCGTAATAAATCTTTATTCACCATTTTCGCCATTTTCTATAGACAGGAATCTGCCCAAGTAATATGAGGGATACAACCACATATCCGAAATTAGTTGCTACTTTAACTAGCAAAAATTTAGCGACTGTAATGATTTTAGTCTACTAGACCGATGTTTTCCTCCGTAATTTCAGAGGCAAATATAGACAAATATTTGAAATATGTCGCTTCCTTAATTTCGATAATAAACAAGAGATCGAAATAATTCATCCACATATGAACTCAGATTGACTCGGTTTGTCGAGAATTCGGTTAAGCTGGTGATATAGACAAATTACTAATTAGTAATAATTAGTATAATTGGTATTCAGGTCAGTGTTGCTTGCCAGATCTTTGTATAAATCTCATATGCGAATCCATACAGTGCTCGTATTATTTACTGAAAATAGATAAATACTATTTTTGCCTTTACTAAGTTTCTGATTACGATATTTTTTACTGAATTGGGCTTCTATTACCCATTTCTTTCTTTTTATTATATAAGTATCCTTATCGTATTTTAATGTAAACCTTCAATTTCTTATGATGACAAGTATTAATGCTAATAAAATATGCATAGGTCACTCATTTCACTCTCATGTCGTGCGCTTCATTATGCCAGAATTTAAAAACTCAAATAAAATTGTACTTTTCGTGCGAAGCTTTAATTTGGTATAAAGCTATCATATATTATTTCAGTAAACTACGGCTCGAATTTAAATTCATATTTATTCAATAATCTGCCATCAACGGTCGGCTAATTCTTCTTTGGATTAGCCGAATTTATGTACATATGACACACAATGGTTTCGAGGTCGTTGAGTATGTCTCAACTACAATATGATATTTTCTGTATACAGGTGTGCATTTTCCAAATACACTCTCCATTTCATAGTTACCAATATACAACAGTGCAGTTCACAAGAACACGTTTTGCCAAGTTGTTCAGTGTTTTGCCAAGGCAACCACCAAACTAGAAATAAGTATTTCCAAAATTAACAGAAGGGATATGTTTACGTGATCGATAAGTTCGTATATACGTGTATAGATATGACCTAAATTGTACGAAAATTGGCGCATGCAGTTTTAGCTCTTCAAGATTCCACAGGTGATTTTTATGTGGAGATATAAGAAATTAATCTCTCTTGAGCCTACTTATTGTTTTTCGAATTCGAGCGACTTTCTCTAGCAACATAACAGCATCTTTAAAAATATATTAAATTTGTTCCAAATTTTGAGGATGGTAAAATATGTGTGACTGACAGTTAACTACCTAAGCGAACACTGGAGATTTCAAAGGTTGTTATTTACTTGGCAAGACGCAAACAGCAGTTAGAATAAACTCCATGAATCGTTTCGCCGGACGGACCAGGTTTGCAAGCTAGCACGTCATGCTGCCTTATAACGGTTACACTTCTGTCAGCCTCATTCATTATATTTGAGTAATCCATCAATAACTATGGTTACTGTCATACAACCCACACAATTTTAGAACTAATTGTCGACGTGTCTAATACCATCGGTACCCTAGAATTACCTGGCCGTCAGCATGCTATCACCTCTGCTGTATATATACTTAGTTATGTATATGTATAATGTTTACATTATGAATTCTACATCGCCCGCCGGTGATAATCAGGCAACGCGACGGCATATTCGCACATGTTACAGTATTGTGCATTGCGACAGATGTAACGAAGGAAGTCATGCAGGTGCGATAGCAACAGCTGAACGGCTTTCTCATCAAGAGCCGTGTAAGCGAGGAATCGGCCAAGAAGGGAGAACATCCGCAGTAAGTGAACAGCGCCGTAAATCTCCGACATCTTTGCATCTAGGCCATGTTCTTCCAGCACCTGGGCATACTGCGGGCGCTCAAATTTGTAAAGCAAATGTTTGCCTAACATAGAATTGAAGTAATCTCGAATTCCTGTAATTGAAAATCCATAATTGTAATTAGATGTTTTAAAGAATAAGCAATTAGTCTCGATAAGGCAACCAAAATATCTCTCGAAGCTTTGTGATCATACGAGTCTAACACGCAGTAGAAGATTCAAGTTAGCTATTGAACGTTGTATTTCTATCTTATAGACGTTTATATATCTTGTCTCACCATGCAGGGCTAAGTTTGAGTCCATCTGTTACACAGCCTTCCGACGAAAAATACATAAAATAAACGGCTAAACTGCAAATAACGTTTTCCTTGCGTAGCCACAAACCACAAACCTATTTAGTATGTCATTGAGTCTGATATACTCAATTTTATATTTGCTCTCGATAAAGTAAGCTTTGCAAAAGCCAAAGATCCTTCATATACAGGCAATATGTATTTTAATGGGAAGACTGTTTTAACTGCCTGTGCTGTTAGACCACCCGCAAAAGCATTAAATATTTGAGCTCATAGAATATATTTGATTTCGCTGTATAACTGCGCACAATTCAATAACTGCTATCATATATCTCCGCTTTACCTCCTGTTAGTTCGGTGATAGCTGACTCCTTGCTAGAAGTTGTGCCCTTCACCGAGATCTTTTGCGTAAGGTACTCCTGAAGGATCTTGTCCACGGTATATTCGCAAGGTAATTTGACAAGTTTTCTTTGCCGACATACAAGGTCCCAATCATCAGCAAGTCGATTCTTAAGATCATCCGGAATTTTTATGCGTATTTCGACCTTTTGCATATAATGCTCTTCCGTTTCTACATGGGCATCAATCTTCGCTTTTTTTTTCTTGGGCTCTTCAGAACTAGTGGCTCCCAAAGATGATCCTTTTTCCCTGGCAGCTGAAGTGCTATCGCGTTTTCTCGAACTGTAATGAAAATTTCCGCTATTTAGTACTACCAGTGTTGTGATTCGTGGTGTAATGGAGTTAAAATTTTACCTGGATAAAAAGAAGAAGAAAAAACTGCCGTCTATGAAGTTATCTAAAATAAATCTATGATTTAATAATAGTAACAATAATTCTAAAAGACTGTACCCAGTGGTAGATGGTCTCTCTTTCTTGTCGGCTGAGTCTTTGCCTCTTCCTATAGCAGAATCTTTTTCCTTTCCCGTCGGAGTTGCAGAGTCTCGTCGCTCATCCCTGGTAGCAGCACCCCCGATTGAGCTTTTCCTTTTACCACTTTCTTTCCGAGCCTTAAGCTGGGCAGCTTGTAAATCTGCCTGTTTCGCAAGATTAGCATCATTTACCTTCAGCATACGACTTTCTGGTACCCACTCGTCCCATTTGGTGTTCCAGCCAGAATAATGGACAAAGTATTTATTTACTTTGTCTTTCACCTGCAATAACATGATAAATAAATGATGTCATATAAATAAAAACAATGACCTAAGACTGGTAAGAGCAGGTTTCTTGTTTTTTTTTTACACTACGCTACGAAGTGTTAATGTAAGAAATATCTTCCTTTAAAATAAACTACGCATGTTAATGGCCTTTTCGAAAACAAATATTATTCTAAATACTTCAGCCGGTTGAAATACATGCATCTTTGGCATTTTCTTTTCGCATCAAATTTAAAAGAAGTTTTATCTCATTCTGTCTAGAGTTCTCTCTATTTCCTTGAAGATAAAACTAAATTCGTTGCAGTGAGCTTTTCGCAGTATGACAAAACCCAATAAAAACACCATAAAGACACAGAACGACTAGATTACTCGATAAGTATAATATCCCGAATATCGAAATATCTTGAGATAAAATAAAAATTGCTTAAAGTATATATATCCTCGCTACCAATAGCAATTAGTCAAAAAATGTCAAAAACGAAATCAATCACTTTAAAAAATTGCCTTTGTCATATTTTTTTCACCGATTACATATCTCAAGCATAGCAAAAGAGCTGTGGTTCGCCTAGAGGAATAAGTGCTCTTGTTATCGATATATCTTACTGCAAAATTAGTACAAACAATAACAAAATTAGCATAATAAATGCCTTAGCCTTCTTCACTAATAATTTTCCACACAAATTTGCGGAGCCTTATCCGCGAGAACAATGTGGTTTTTACGTTCTTTATTAATCTGAAAGAACAAGTCTTCCCTTCGCAAAATTCGATTTACCACCTTACACCCCGACCGTCTACACACACACAACTGTTTTGGCGCGATCTTCTGTCTTGCCCGGGTGGTACTTGAATGTTTTTTTCAGAAGCACGTAATTTTTTCAACAAGTGAAGGTAGCAATTTTCCATCGAACACAGATCTATACAGACTAATGCAGCTAATTTGACGTTGCTGACCAATAAAATAATTATAAAGCAGTAACGGTTCGTACATGGTCGAATGTCTATTACCGGTATTCGTGAACTGACCTGCGCTTTGATACACTTGGCCTCATAAAGAAGCGGTCCGTGAAAACACAGAACTTTTTCATTCTCTTGAAACTTAAATTTTGGAGCTGGAGCCATACTGCTCAATAATGAGGCACAATTTTATAGCTGCACAATTCTTGCACAAAAGCCGTCTATAGTACTCCACTAGCGCCCTAGCGAAAAAAAGACCACCGCACAGAGCTGGAGAAAGACCCGTCGTTTATTTTATTTACCCTTCTTGCTTGTGTATGTACTAAGCCGTGAGCTATGCAGACGACAATCCACTCTCCATCGGGGGCGTGAGCGGCAAACATTGCTATCCAAAATATCGTCTGCATCGATCGACGAGAACCGATTGTTGTGATCCACTTTAACGCGTGAAAAATATACAGATAAAAATTGTAATACTGACAAAAATATTGCAAGCTGTTATTTCCGAAAATACAGCATTTCCAAAAGTGATTCAGTCGGTTCTGTGTTGTTTGTATAGCGTCCTTGTCGAGATCTGCTGGGCAAGATGATGCTCCCAACGGAAACAGCGGAAGAGATACGTGCGAAGTATACGGAGATGCAAATCGAACTGGAGAACCTAGAAATTGAGGTGGGGTAGTTCAAGAATAAGACATGTGTGATTGCAACATATTATGTTAACCTGCAGAGACAGCATTGATTCTATACCACTGATTTCTATAAAGCGTTGTTTTACATCTTAATGCACTTACTAGGTTGGTTTCTCTAGAAATAAATAGATCTTAACTAGGTATTGCAATGTCAACGATACAGGGTGAAAGTATTGCAAAAGCATTTCGCTGAAAAACAATCTGAAATCTGGGCTGACACTAGTACGAACTATGTCTATACGCACGATTCGCTAAATAATGACAAACCGCATGAACTAGGGTGATGGACACCTCAAGTCAATTTTCAGACGCTTTTCGAATTTCTATCACAAAGTTTCGAATATACTGTGTATTAAGGGGTAATATGAATCCTTCTTAAGTAGTTATCTTGTTCATACTAACAGTCTATGCAGTGTAGCATGGGTTCAATAGATCAATCATTCCACTTAGTTTTTTCGTTTGATTGACTATACCAGTGCATATATGTAAATATGTGCTGGTGATATGTTGGTGCCACAAAGAAGCTCTAACTCGGTACGTGCTTTAGCTATGCAGCGATCTTGGTCAGCTTTAGACACACAGCTAGAACCTCCGAATGTGTGAATTATCGCGGAGCATTTAGTCAACATGCCATACAAATATGATCTGTTTTTAAATGTGGTTGTATAATGTTTTATTGTTGCAGCGTGGTGCAGCTGACGAGGTCCCTGCTGACTCAGTTACTTCCGAACTGTATCTCCAACTTATGGCGATCTATCTTATACAGAATGACTTGTAGGTGAAAACACATTGGCATCTGTGAATTAATTCCATATTAATTAATTGCACATTTTCTATCCACATGAGCGAGGCGCGCAATAAAAGCGTGGCAAGAGGAATGGAAAATGTGTCGTGATATAAACCATTATCATAAAGCAAATTGTATGCATCCACCCGTATTTCTTAATATTATTTACGTCATCTGATATATGGTGTTGTTATTATTATGCGACATTTTGTTCACGATATGTATCATATGCGTGAGACAACTAGGTAAAATAGATTTCTGATTCTTACAGCACTATACGTGTATGTAACTTAGGCTTATCTGAAAAATAATTTCAGGCCCAATGCAAAATTTGTGTGGAAGCGAGCTCCCGACAACATAAGAAAGGTACGTGGTTGCGACGTATAGTTCCACCGCGTTAGGAACTTTTTCCAAGATTATTATTTTGATGATTATTGCATATCGATTTTCAAACGAATGAGGGGACGAACAGAGCCACAAGCTTGAAAATGTAAACTTGAGGTCTAAGCCGTACCCAAGAAAAAAAGAAACGTTTTGTCATTTTGGCACTGCATCGGTTGAGTGGAACTACACATCGACTTCCGCTCGTATAATGGTACCGTTGCTACATTTATCTAAAGTCATATTTAATGAACATGGGTGTTAAGGTCAGGCAATCAATAAACTATATGAAGTGTTTTATTAACCTTTAACTTTAGAACTTTGAACTATGATGAAGTGTATAGGCACTTGAAATCGTCGAGACTATCGTATTGTATCGTAATATCCAGATTTGTACAAGCCTAAGAGTGAGTGAGTGCAAGCTCAAAGAACATTATAACAGTTTGTTTGCACTGACCGCACCGTGCGTGATATATGTACCAGAGTGGTTTAGATTAATCGCCAGCAATGATTCTTTTTTGGTTCACTCCAGAGTGCATCGTTGTCAGGCATGCATCGAGTGTTTTTGGCACTATGGAGTCGCGATTTTCCAGCCACTTATACGGCACTAAATGGTACCAACTGGACACCGAGCGTCCAGCCGCTTATTGCCGATTTACGCTCGTTGACGGTGCTGCGGGCCCGAAGTCTCCTTTCCAACTCGTACGCTGATGTTTCCCAAGAGGATTTTTGTCTCTTAATGGGCGTCCCGATGAGCACTGAAGGTGTTGCAGAAGGTTAGTTCAAAATATAACGGTTGTTTAATTTTAGATTTGCATAGTAAATTTTTATTACCGCTCGGTATACCGGTTTCCGATTGTTCCAGGATAATTCAGGTTTTAAACATCGCATGGTGCAAGAATCTTAGGACATCATTTTAGACATATCCTTACTACTATAACTGGAACGGAGAAAAGTATCTCACAGAAAGCAGATGACTGCGTTTTTCAATAAAAACTCAGTCAAAGAGCAAACTCATGAGATACATTTCTTTAGTAAAAATGTATATGCTTATATACGCATTAGTCTATGTAAGGGGAAATTGTAATCCTAATCTTGCTTATTTCTGTTATTGAACTATGTAGTTATTGTTTTGATTCTTTTTTCAAAAAGATCATATTTTGTTGCACAGGGTTGAAAGTAAGCATTAGGTAATATATTTTGTCATATTATTTCATGTTCACCTATTATTAGTGAGATTCGTTCTGGGAGGTTGTTTCACCGCCGTGTCGAGCATTTTTTGAGAAAAAGAAATAATAGCAAAAATAGCCCCGTATGACAGTGGCTTACTAGATTAGATCATCAATTCACAAATAACTATGAATCGTAGTTGAACGCAGAATGAGAGAAAGCCGGGGGTCGATGATTCATCGAGCTCATTAATCTTTTCTTTACTGTAACGTATTGTCTTTGTCATTTATTTATGCGGTGAAGGGGATTTCGGAAAAGAATCAAGGTATTCAGCAGACTATTCTTTCTTCATTCTCTTCATCCGTTGGACTTTATGCGATAGTGAGTAGCCGTTAGATTGCAGTGGCGATGCATCTTTTGGTTCATACCTAATCAACGATTATTCATACTAAACGAAAGTCGTTATACTTTGAAAACATTAGTGCGTTGAGTTCACGCAGTCTCTTTCTTAGGTGAAGTAATTGAAGGTTGCTTTGATTTCCTCTTTTTATGGAGCAGCATTATTACATAGCAAAGAAAAAATACTGTGATGACCGAAAATGTTCTAAAATATGTAAATATATGTAAAAATACGAAGGCGTTAGCGCTCGCGGTTATCCAACCTCTCCGATAGAAATTTTCCGTGTTACTGATAGAAAATGATGAACTTCCGTGTGTAAAGTAAACGATTTCAGTGCATCTTATTTTTATACAGAGAGAATCTAGATATTTGGTTTGTATAAGAGAGAGTAATTTATACCTACTATGATATACTGTCGCCTTTAACACGATAATGTGTCCTAGTGATGTGCCGACGGCGCCCTGGTGCTTACCATTCTAGGTCAGTTATTTGAAAAAGCGTAGGTAATAAATAAATTGACTTTATACTAAACGTTAAATGTGAGATATGGTTCAGGATTAGATAAAGTTGGCATCGATTTGATGCCTACTTGAGATTAGTCTAGATTGCCTCAAAGCACTAACGTATATCGAAATAATTTATGAACTGTAGTGTTGCTTGCCGTTACCATGTTGTTTACAGCTTGCGCGGAGTTAGGTTGGACTCTAAATGGTGGTCGCGTAATACCTGCAAAGCCAGCACCCCCTACAGAACAGCCTTTAATGTCCGAGGCCCATCTTGCCAAATTGGCAGAATTCATCAGTTTCCTCGAATGTTAACGTTGTCTCATGATATCCAGTCTTTTCAAAAAGGGATTTCGTCTTTTTTTTTTTCATCTAGGTTAGCACATAAGCAACTCAGGCTGAAGGGCATTTATAATGTAGTGTCCCTCTGTTAAGTAAAAGACAAAAAAAAGGTAATGAGTGATTCGCACTCTATTCCTGCTCCGTCAGTAGAGAAATTACAGTAGGTCCCGTTCACCATTCTACAATAAGATCTGCAGCTGTTTCAAGATATCCTAACGTTAAGGCCATTTCGTGAGAATGTGATTTTAAATAAATGAATGGACGACGTAATTGCTGATGCGGAAAAAAGAAGCTGCTACCAAGCCTTGATCTACCCGCGAGTCATTGTATGGAAAATCTCACATCATATAAACGTGATTGCGCTCTGTGGATATAAAGTGCGTGGGTAATTCTAAGTGCGGCTGTGTATATTATGTTAATACATTTCTAGTTGTCAATCTTGCTACCAATGCAAACCTATGAGAAAGTGAATAAACATGTTAATTTGATATTATTAGTGCATACAGTAAGTATTGTGCCTTTTCTATTGTTTAGTTGACACTACAGCGCGAATTGACGACAATATTTTTACGTTCAGGTAGGCAAAATAAAACATTGTATGATATAATAGAGATATGAACGTACTAACGTTTAGCCGAAACTGAACATTATTTTTTGCGTGGCGACTGGGAACGTTGGAAATGCAACGTTATTCCTTAAAATGATTCTGATTGAAATTTCCAAATAGGTGTGCTTCAAATTCAGAAGCCCACTTGAGAGTAGATCACTGATTCATTCTGGACGTGACTTTCACATACTAAACTGACTGGCTTTTTTTTATATTTAATTGTCTTAAGCTAAACCTCTCTTTAGCAATTATTGCACAGATCGTCGCATAGCTTAACAGCGGACGTCTTATGTAACAAAAATTGTTATAATAAACTGTAAGATATTCAGAGAAAGAGCGCAGTTTTAAATGGAATCTCAACTATTTGCATCATTTGGAACTCAGACTCCACAATCGAAGCGATACGACGCTATTTGTGGAAATCAGATCATATATGGATATTCGTCATCGTCGATAAGGTTTCCCAAATTGTCTGATAAATTGCTTTTCGCATATATATATGTGTGACCAGAAAGTAAACTATAATTCTTTTGAGCCTTAAGCGCTTAACAGTGCAAAGCTATACATGATTTAATTTATTTACAAAAAGACGGATTTATTCTAACAACTTTTATTGCATAAGCGGTTGTATAACTGCCGAGTAATGTACCGCGTTGACAAAGTAGCAGGCGGTGAGATTCTTGTACATGCAAATTAGTCCGCAATTTAGATCCGAAGCTTATTTAGTTACTATATCGAGGTTAGTTCTAAAAGGCTCCAAGAGAGGCTTTAAGGTAAATTTTTATATATCAGCAAAATAACGGAGCCGCAATGATTAGGCAGTGTTTACATGCCTAAATCTTTATTGACTGTGCAAATGTATGGTACGAATGGTGCACTGAGGCTCCTAAGGAAATGTGTTAAGTAGTTTTTCGAAGAGCAATATCGATCACTCGACATACACGGCTTGCATTAAGTCTGTCTTAAAGATTTAAGAAAATTGTTTCGCTTAACTATACAGGTGTTTATGCCTATGGTGATTATGGACTTAGCTTGGATTCAGTTATGCATAAATGATTGGTGTAGGTGTACATAATTAACATCGTACAATTTCAACTGACATTTTCTGCAAAGTCTTGTTTAGAATAAAAATAACGCCAAACAGAAATAAGACATTGAAGCGACATGAACCCTACGTCCTCTGGGAATTATATAATAGTTCCACGGACAGCAACAAAAATATTTATGATATGAGATTTGGCAGTATTCCGTAGTTGTGTCACTTTGTATTGTCTTACAGATCAAATCTCTTACTCAAATGGCTGCCTACATCTCTGCCTTTCCCAAATGCTAGATTAACGCGAGACAAATTATTTCGATTTACACAGCATATTGCTCATAACACTCATAACTAAACATTCAACAATCTATTATTATTATTATTAGAGCCAATGTTTTATGAACATAGTAGAACCTGTTATACCAGACGTTCTTAACATAATAGGATCTTTCACTCACAATAGGGAACTTGATGTCTTACAAGGTGCAATCTGAATATCTTTTTAATGTCTTCGCTGCAGTTTTCTGTTCCTGTGAAATACCTTCGTACAAATCACTCAATGTTTTCTCAAAATGTTTGTAAAAATTGGGAAATGACATTTAGAGATAGGGGAAATGCATCAACGGACACATCTAATCGCATAGATGGCTTCTTTTCACTGCCATAGACCGAGGCGAAATACTACGTTCTTTGCGATATACTTAGAGCAGCGTTTTTCGTTGTAAAATCTAAAACTTTTTTTTTTTCAATTCTCTTTACTTGTTTCTTTACGCATCTACCGCACAACTCTTATGTGAGGTTCCATTTTACAGCGGGGTTGCTTTTACGAGTGAATCTCGTGTGACAATATTGCTCTTTACGTAACAAAAAAACTATTAAAGGTATTTTTGTTGCTGCACAACTGCTGATGCAATTATAAAAAAAGCTATTTGTAAAATTGTAATTGTCCTAGCGCGTAGTAATAGTAAAAGATAAATACTACTAAAATATTTAGTTTAGGTTTATATTTAGTGAAAAAGAATAAATTTACATATCTGAGGACTTTTCATGTATTGCCACAATTTTGATTGTATCAATTCAGCCAACGACAATTTTTAAACACAACTATCGATATCGAAAGCGTTAAAGACTGATATTTAATAACTAGCTTACAAACTCCAACGGTAATGAACGTGAGGATCCTATGAGGATAGTATAATTCATACAGCCGGCTTACACAGCTCCATTAAATACACAAAATTGGCATAGATAAGAAACCGCCTGTGAGATAGGGCCGTCTCTGCACTAGAGCTAGCCTTGAGAAAAGCGGAGTGCGCTTAACCCGAGCGGTGAACGCTCTCTCTTACAGCGGCGAAGCATCGCTAATTCACGGCTCCATTAGTAGTCATCTAGAGGTCACATTAACCGGACGGGTCCCGATGTGGTGTGCGATCCTCTATTTTGCGTTCAGCTTCAATTGACCCCCCATGGTGCGGTGATATCTTATGAGTAACTATGTGATCGGACGGTTCGGGGGCCTTCATTATTCTTAGACACTTTTACCACACACAAGTGATCGTGAAGATGATGCAAATTATATCATTTTTACATAACTATTCTTTCTGTTGATTAGAACATGTTGTTTGAGTACGCTTTTGCGCTTATGGACGGAATCCATTACCTTAACGTGGCGCAGCGACGCTTGGTGAACTTTCGCAATCATGCGCAACCGCCAAATCTATTCCTTGATATTTCGGTAGCCACGTAAGTAAATAGTTGATGTATCGTTGCTTAAATGTTTCATTGTTTATCTAGATCCACGTATACGTTCTTCTTTACATGACGGTAAAATGAGTCCTTGGAATACGTTCTCATTGTGACGTGGAGTAGCGCCCGTTGCGAAGAAACGATCTGTCATGATTCTAGTGAGCCACAACCATGTAAAGCTCGTCATAAAAAAGAGATGATATATACATTAAGGGCATTTCTGTTATTTATACACTTATAATGCTGCTCCCAGCCTACCTGCAATTCCCTCAACTGTTGTGGAGTTCCGCTCTATCGGTGAGATTTATTTTTCAGCTTAATCTGAAACGTATTTACTGTGGCCGCCGTCGCTGGGTAGAATATTTTCACGAGCAGTCATGCTCGTATGCCTCCATGCACGGCAAGCGCTAAACTTTCCTCATTAGTTGTAGATTATCTACTAGCTGCCTTCCCTCACGATTAGAAGGACGGGGAAGAGAGCATTTTGTCCTCTCTTTTTTGAGATCCCTTTCCACACTCCGCGTGCTCCGAGCAGTAAGGGAATGGGGAGTCAACACATTGGGATTGGCGGTGCGAGACGAGAGGACACGACACAGGGTTCAATCAGCCCAACTTTCATATGCCACGAGTCGGTGCCAGACGTGCCAGTAGTGACTGCTGTGCTTGTTGCTGTCACTGCTGTTGTTTCATTGCCGCAGATGGAGACGAGTGCTGAACAAGTGAGTGCATCCAGGTTTAGCATGAGACGGAGCTCGCTGAAGTTCTCACGTTCACAGCGGCCACTGGGGATGTTGCCTTCTACTTCTCAGCGTATTGTGCTGCTATCCATATTAGTGTGCTTTGGCAGCAATGTGGAATACGTATCCGGATTTGCTTTCTCATTTGGCCGCCATCCGGGACCAGGCGACTGGGCCCAGCTTAGTACGGCCGCCCTTGACGGACCACTTCCGGTGCTTTCGCGTGCTTCAGCATTCGCGACATCTTGTGTGCCGATCCCTCGTAATATGTCGCTGTGCCAAGGTCTTGAATACTCAAAGATGCGATTGCCTAATTTGCTAGAACACGATACGATCGACGAAGCCCTTGAACAGAGTGCCTCGTGGGTACATCTTTACAAGTTGCGCTGTCACGCCGACACACAGAAGTTCCTTTGCTCCCTTTTTGCTCCAGTCTGTTTGGAAACGCCTATATTTCCATGCCGCAGTCTATGCGAAGCAGTTCGTGGTGCCTGCGAAAGTGCCATGCTCAAGTATGGTTACCCCTGGCCAGACATGGTCAGCTGCGACAAGTTTCCTGAGGACGACATGTGTGTCACCGCTGGAGATCGCGATGATGGAGGTCAGTGCTTTGAGTGTGTGTGTGTGTGTGTGTGTGTCTTCTAGTGTGAACTTCCTCTAAGCAATTAGTTTTGGATTTATCTACGCCTAACATAAAAAAAAAGAATATTCCATGAGGGCAAATATGTAGAACCCTATTTTTAAGCAAAACGTATACTCCAATGTTTTTTCTTTTGCGTCTGTTATAACATTGATCACCATCTTTGTTTTTTGACAAGTCACGCATTGCTGATCACATTTAATACATTTAATATGAGAGCTATTTGACACCTTGTTTCTGTTTCTATTTTATTGGCTTAATACTTTGACGACCAAATACTACAACAAGTTGAACTTTCACAAGAGCCTGTGCAATTAACTTAGAGAGGCTAATTATTAGAAAACTAATTATCGGAAAACCATGTGGGGCACTAGGTGGTTTATTATATTTATTACCCTTTAATTGTGAATTCCAGAAAATGCCATAAATATAAAGCGCAATTACCGATTCAAAAGGACAGAAAACATTGTACTAGCCAATCTAGCAACAGCTATGAAAAGATACATCCGCTATCCAGCCAATATTATACTCCAACAGGTTCTTTTCTCGGGGAGTTGAACGCTTCCAACATTATGTATACACTCAATTCGAGTTACAGTGCTGTCTATATCCATAGAAATAGTAAAGTTTGTTCTGCTAGGTTTAATGCATCTACAGATCGTCAGCTTGCTTTAATTTGAAAGTTGAACATTTTCTTAAGCAGTAGTACATCATACATGTTTTGGGCTCATTGAAGTTTAATGTCCCTATACGGTTACGTCTGCCTAAGCCATTCCTTGTTCCAGAAGCATTTAATCTGAAACATACAATATATAGTGGTGTATATAATGTGTTGGTGAATAATAATATTGCTTCTCGGCGTTATGCTCGTCATGGTTAATGTCCCAAAATGCCGTTCACGATAGTTCAGAAAGTTCTAGCGGCTCTATGAGCCACTATGCCGCGCACACGGACCGAACGACCTACCGAACGAACGCGTACAGCCTCGCTCAAATTGCTAAATATCAGAGCAGGTTTTGCTCGCGTGTCTACGGACGTTTTCGTTTGTATACACTGCTAGGCGCACGCATTGCCTTTCGTTCTACCTTAGCGCCTAGGCAGCCCGGCAGACAACTATTGTGTCGCGGTGCTTTTGACTATAGCTGCTAGAGAGGCTATAGTTTTGCTTGTTGTATATTTGCAACAGGAGAGGAAGAGGAAGTCAGAGCAAGACCAAGGGAAAGCAGAAAACCGAGGCCATACGTCCTGAGGTCCAAAAGTGTGCGCCAGGGGGCTCGTAACCGGAGCTTCATATTCTGCGTTATTTTAAGAAGCCGCAAGCTGCTCTTGGTAGGAAGCCGATAGGAAACTATATTAACATCAAGAGCAGCAGCGGCTTCAGTAATAGCAATGCAGTGCACAAATTTGCGAGAGTAAGCTGTGTTGTGCGAGTCTACATCGGTCCTTCCCCCGTACCATCCCCCTTAGAGGCTGTTTAGTTTCGCCGCTTTATTTTATCCCCAATCCTGTTTTCACTACTTTTGAACCGCTCACCATGCTCTTTGTAATATATTCGGGTTATATGTACGTAGCGCACTGTTTGTTTCAGCTTTTCTTCGGTACTTCTACTCTGGGACCATTTTTTTTAGTTGAACCGAGATACGTCTGGCATAAGAGATAATCTTTGCAAACTTAGTGGTTAAGGACTCGGTAAAGAGGAAGGCTACCACTTTATCAGTGATTAAGTTAGAGCGCCGGCGTAGCATGCTGAAATAAGTAACCATAGTAAATAGTACGCGTGATTTGCGACGGAATAATATTACGATGGCTCTAAAATTGAGAAAACTAGCGCTAACATGTCGAAAACTAACTCAACATGTCAGCGCTGTACTCGGCTGTACAGAACTCAAAAACCTACCATTTACTGTCGGATATCACTTGATTAAAATAGAATGTTAGTATTTGTTATTGAATCATTACATTGTAGCCTATGGATGCTATAGCTAACTAAGTTCTATGTAACATTTAACTAAGTAACATTTATGAACAAAAAAATTTGTGCTTTAATTAAATAAGATCATCCTAATCTATTACAGTAATAACAAAGGGGCAATTCGGTGTACGTATTATACAGGCAAAGTTGTCTAATAATTTGGTGCTAACAAATTGCCTTTCTAATCGCAATACGAATGGGATGTGCTCACGGAAGTTTTCGACAACTGGAAACATTACAGGCTTTCGGTCCAATTGGATATGAAGGCATTTATATATTACGTGTCGTTTTGAATGAGAGTTACGACAGACGCATAAATTCATTGTACCAATACTGCAGCTAAAACCTTAAGCGTTGATTCTGACATTGTGTTCTTTCATTCATTTACACATGACAGCAGATCATCGATTAGCAACTAATGGCGTTCGACGAAGCCAGCGCGGCGCTTAGTAATATCGTAATAGAGGTTTTTGGCAGAAGGCAAATATTCTGTACGACGGTTTCTTTCTTTTGTTGCAATTTGTTTTTCTTTTTTTATTTGCTATCAGATAGTTTTCGAGGTATTTTAGTGTTGTGTTTCTGTTTTGCGCGGCTGGCCACTTACTTCTGCTGTTACTTCGTTTATTATTTTTGCGTCGCACGGGTTGGTATAGCATAAGCGAGTATCAAAGCTAACCGTTGTCAGGGTCTAGTGGCCCTTATAGATGAATATAGATTTCAAGTGGAGCTAAATGGCTGATGGCTTTTTGTCCTGGCAGAGAAAGCGAGAATATTCCGCTCGTGGCGTTTTTAAAGCTCAGCGGTAGCGCTGCTGGTATTGCTAAGGAACGATCGTCTTTGTGGCAAGTTTTGAGCAATACGTCGGCTCGGTCTTTTTTAAGGCGTATTAGAAAACAGTGCTGGTAGCGGCGGCTACAGTGACAAGAGGCGTGATCTTCCCAAAAAAGGCCGGCGAGAGATGTCTCTTTTTTTTATAGCTGGTATGGGTAGTGGCAGCGACAACAACAGCACTATTTGACCTTGTGAAGTGGACACTATAGTAGAGTGTGGGAATTCGGCCCGTCAAATCTGGGGGCGGAAAAGTACGCAGCAGATGGGGAATATGTGGGTAGTGAGTTTTGAAACTATCAGTCCGTTCAATCCTTTTTCGCCGCTCTTGTTGTTCTGTTCGCCTACGTTGTCACCCTATAAATGCGGCCACAGAGGGTGGCTGCTTGTGGAGGATAGGCGAACGTAGGAAGCTGATGAGGACAGAAAACACAGCATGAGTAGTGGAGCAGGCGGTAGATATAGCTAGCGAACAAAGATGAGGCTATGAGACAGGACGGATTGCAGTCAGCGAGTTGCCATATTTTTCTGCCTAGTTTTACTTTCTTGGTCGTGTATGTTCTTATCGAGAAGAAACTTCGATTCGGATTGAGAGGGTCGCTATTTAGAATCAATTGTGTTTTACGGCCAGCTGTCGGCCAACTTCCTCTGCTGAACTCTATTGGCCGTTCCACTTTTTCCTTTCTGCTCCCCAGCACCGCAGTGCCTCTGGAAGTGTCAACGGGGACACGAGAAGAGAACAGAACAACGTGCAACAGCAGCAGCCGAAGTTTGTAATGGAAGAGAAGGTGCAGTATAGAAGTTGAATTCGAGATTGGCGACTAGCAGTCTGGCAGCAGCCCTATCACCAGTGGAGGCTGTGGGGGTGGCGTAGTGGGTGTTAAGAGAGAAGAAAAGGCGCTCGTTGTTGTTGTTGTTGTTCAGTTGGCGTTTATATTGGTTGAAAAGAGCACGACCGATCACGCAGGCAGACCACCCGCCGTGTGTGCAAGTGTGCACACATTTACACACGCGATCGGATCTGATTTCTTCTAGGCCACACATGAACAGGCGCACGGAACAGAACGGGTATTGTAGAAGTCGCGTGGCTAGAAGATGGTGGCTAGGTCAACGCGGAGAGTATGAGCTGGATGTGACTTTCCCAGGCTTTTGCGATCGAGCGGTGTTATTTGCTAGCGTTTATGGCAGAAGCAGAGCCCCTGGCCACAGTCGGAATTCGAACGCAGAAACTCGGCGGCAACGGCGACGATGGGATTCAGCGAAATATTTTGCCGTTCAACCGGTTGAGCTCTTTCAAGAGATCAAAGCCCTATCTTTCGCTTGCCACCTGCTTTATTGAAACATATTAAACCCGTTTGTTGTCTAAGGTCGGATAAGCGACTATGACATAGGAAAGCAGAACGACTGGGCAGATCCCCAACAAGGTGGAACGCGCGAGAAGGTTTGGAGTTATTTTTTACTGGTCTTGAAGCAGGACGACACTAGTAGCTGATGCCACTGCCCCAAAACAATAACATCCCAGTAACGTCTTTTCCTCAGCTAGCTACAATATTACTTGGCTAAAGCCGCCAACAGCAACGATAACACCGATTTTCTGTTCGAAGCGTCAGAAGGTACTTTGTTGTTTCGACAGCTGCAACGACGGATGACATACGCAAAAAGATGCAGTTCTCCTGTTACTGTGCTATTCGACGGCGTTGTCAATGTCGTTTGAAACATCCGTCGTACAGTACGAACTGGCAAGCTTTATCGCTTGCTTGGCGTGAGGGCATTACACAAGAATTCACCTCACGGTATCGTGGACCATCGTGTACGTTAGCAGAGGTATTTATACAGCACTGTATTGATAAGGATGGTGGCAAAACAGCCTCTTAGCTGACTGTTCCGGAAAAATATGTCGACACCTTTCAATCAATGGACTTTGCGTGTTCCAGACACTCTCAGACACACAAGACATATTAGAGTTGTTACAAAGCCCACCTGCACATGGATTATAGAATATATACATAATCAAGCTCATGTTAGTGAGTATACAGGGTACGGCACTCTCTTTGTTATGCTTTCTTCTTGAGACTGTACCCAACGATTTTTTGCATGTGCTAACTTTTTATTATTATACTTATCTCTCACGACCACAAGTTCAATTTGGAACATTAATTAC